TTGTTTTATCTGAAAAATCTGAATTCCATTTCATGTAGGTTTTCTGTAGCAAAGACAATCATCACAGTGGAGGATTTGCAGCATCGAATATACTTGTAGCAGATGAGTCCTGGGATTAAATCTACCCCTGGCAATAGAACAACGTTGTACTATACAAAAACTTCTAAACAAAGTAGTTTTGGGGAAAACTGACTGGATCCTGGCCAAATTTATTTGAAAGTTTTTGCCGTAATTTCAGTGGGATTTACTTCTAAGTATATGTGTTTATATGTTTAAAATATGTTTGATGTTGCTGCCTTCCCATGTTAAGGAAAGGTGGATTTCAGGCATTTGAATTCCTTATTTAGCAAATTTAAGTTTAATGGTTGTGTGAAGTAACACAATTTGTTGTAAAAGACTGTTATAAATGACTGTAAAAATGATTAATAAAAACTTGTAATCATGTCCTGTGCTATGGATTTTATAGAATTTAGCTCAGTTCTGGCAGAGTGTTATCGGAAATCATTGATTTAACTCCCCAACAAATATTTTTAGGATTACATGATAAAGAAGTAAGCAGTGGGGCACCACAGGGCTCCGTCTTAGGCCCGGTACTCTTCAATGTCTTTATAAATGACTTAGATGAGGGAATAGAAGGGGAACTCATCAAATTTGCAGATGATACTAAACTGGCAGGAATAACTTCAGAAGACAAACTCTGGATCCAAAAAGATCTTCACAAACTTGAACAATGGGCCTTATCCAACAAAATGAATTTTAATGTGGAGAAAAGCTAAGCTGTACATTTAGGCAGGAAAATTCAAAGATATAAGTACAGATTAGGCAAGACCTGGTTCAAAAACAGTAACAAGAGGAACTTGGAGTCCTAGTGGATGATCATTTAAATATGAGCCAACAATGTGCAACAGCAGCCAAAAAAGCTAATACAATCTTGGGTTGTATAAACAGGTGTAGAATCAAGATCACTTGAAGTATTGGTGTCCCTTTACAAAACCCTAATAAGACTACACCTGGAATACTGCAACTAATTATGGTTACCATACTACATAAAAGATGTTGAGACTTTGGGAAAAGTTCAGAGAAGAGCAACTAAGATGGTCAAAGGCCTAGAGAGTAAACTATATGAAGAACGGTTACAGATTTTGGGTCTGGCTAGTCTAAAGAAAAGACGAATTGGCTGACATGGTAGCAGTATTTCAGTATTTGAGGGGCTGCCACAAAGAGGGGGGCGTGTCAAATTATTGTCCAAAGCACCAGAGGGCAGGATAAGAAATAATGGTTGGAAACTGATCAAAGAGAAGCAACCTGGAATTGGAGAGAAACTTCCTAACATTAAGGACAATTAATCAGTGGAACAGCTTGCCTTCAGAAATTGTGGGCACTCCATTACTGGAGGCTTTTAAAAAAAGATTGGATGGTCACTTGTCTTGAGATTGTATAGGTTCTGCTTGCAGCTGGACTAGAAGATCTCCAAGGTTCCTTCCAGCTCTATTCTATATCAGCTCTAAAAATACAAACTAACTTAACATTTACCAGCTATTGATTCTGCAACCTACCTAGCATACATTCACAAGGCAGTAGAGGTGTATTCAAGTCTATTTTGCTTTATCATGCTGGTTATTGTAAGCAAGCTTATTTTGGAGTTTACTGAGTCATCCATTTCCTAGATCAGCAACTTTGCATAGGCTTAAATTGCTTTAAGAACAAGAACTATTCAGATACTTTTTAATAACTGGTAAATTTAAATTGAAGGTTACAGTTTTGAAATGATCTTTAGGAAATCTCTAGAAAAATTATTTGATGCACTGAAGTGGCTCACTACTGCAGTGAATTTTCCTTCTGTTGATTCTTCAGGGACATATAATTTATCAATAAATTGATGTATCTGAGGCAGAGCGCTTAAAAGAGATTGTTGTTTCACATATAAAGATTAAAGTAGGCTGATGGAGTTTAGGGATAATTGGTAATGTAGGGTCATTTAGCGGTGAGATGGGCGGGAAATTAATGGGCCTGCTAGCCAGCTTAAGACTTGACAGTCTATATGTCTTTTAATGAGAAGAGGAAGAGTGTAATTCTGAAAAAATGGTAAGATATTTTTTTATTTTCCAGTTTTGGTTGAGAGTTCTCAGAAACAAAGAAAGGATGGAGTTTAGCTAATTGGTTTAGGGATTAGACCCAAAGCCCAAAATGTCCTATGAGAACTGGAATTAGTGAGATTAAAGTTGGCAGGAAACCTACAGGTAGTGAACAAGGTAGCCCTTATTCCCCCCCCCCCTTTTTTTTTTCAGTCCTTGGTTCAGCTTTGATGATTTTAAATATCAAACAATTTCTTATTTGCTTAGGTTAATGATTAGTAACTGGTGTGACATTTTCAGTGAAACACTTAACTCATTTTTAAAGTTTTTCTTAGGTTGCCTTTCTTCCTTTTACTCCAGAGATTTTGTATTTAGCACTATATACCCCAGAGTCATTTGAATCTGGTTAATAGAGAAAATCTAAAAACATTTGTTTGAAAAACTTATTCCTGGATAATGGGAATTTATTGTTCTGTTTCACACCAATTTCAGGGGACTCTACATCACTACATTAAAGAATGGAGGTATTGTGGCTATTTGCCAGGTAGAATTTTGAGGGTTATAGCCATACCCAAGCAATCTGGAACTGTATGGTCAGAGATTTAAAAGAGGGATCCGACATGTTTGGGTCCTCTGAAGGATAAGCTCCAGCTGTGATACAAGTCATTTGGACACCAAGCCTTTGGCTGTGGTTAACGCATGACCAATGAGATGGGATTACAGATATTTTAGAGAACTGGTTTTCCTATGTAAGAGTTAAGCATTTTTTTAAAAAAAAAATGTGGGTTGTGTCATGGAGTATTCAACGTTTTGGATATGAAAGTTTGTGTATGTTTTAATTCATTAGGATTGCTTATCTTTTTTCAGTTTGTGGATAAAATAAAGATTGTTAGCAGAACCAATGTAATGTGGAAAGAGCATTACAGTTCGTTGGATGCTCTTTAATGTGTAGATCTTGTTGAAATAATCTGAGAAGTAAAGTGATTTGCAAAGGATGGTAAGCAAGACCTGCTGGTGCAGGAATGGGTGCAATTGGCGCACAAGCTGGAGATGAGCAAAGCCCCTCCTATCCATGGCTGCTACCTTAAAACAGGAGGTGAGAAGATAGGACGACCCCCAAATTATGCACCAGTTCTGAGCAGGGGCAAATACAAACTCCAGAGCCAGTGATGGAAAAGCTCTGAGACCATGTCAAGAAGATTCAAAACCCATAATCACTCAGGTCTTGCTAAGGTCAAACCAAAGCCTGTTCCTCCCCAATCCAGGCTCCCATAACCCACAGACACTTGACAGTGGCACTTGGTATACAATTAGCAGCATGCTGAACCTCATCCAGTAGTTTCATGTGGATGTTAAAAGCAGGGAAAGAGAGGAGCCCTGAGGCATCCTGTGTAGCAGGAATAGGGGGTTAAGAGTTTTTCTCCCCTTCCCAGCACCAACTGGAACCAACCTTCAAAGAATGAGGAGAATCACTGTCCTGACCCTACCCCCACATAAGTCCTGACCCTACCCCCACCAAGCCAGTCCAGAAAGTTACCGTGATGGCATTGAAGGCTGTTGAGAAATCAAAGAGGGACAGAATGGATCCCAAGCCTGCCAGAGGTCTTCAATCAATATCATCCCAACACCATAACCCAGACTGACAAGGGTCCAGATAAGTTATCCTGGATCTCAAATTATCCAAGATTTTCTTCTGAAGAAAGAATGTTTTTCTGCTGAAGCTACATTTTGAATTGTACTTCCTAATAGTCCTTGTCATATTTTTTACTCTGGGTTTCTACCCAGGACAGAG